CCGGAACCACTGAGCTAAATCTCCGGCCCATCCAATGTGTAAGTTTGACTCCTTTGTTCAGAATCAGGTGACTGTAGTTGTGTGGATTTGTTTCTGTGTCCTCTAGTCTGTTCCATTGGTCTGTGTGTCTATTTTTGTGCCATTATCATGCTATGTTTGTCACTATGGCTTTGTAGTATAATTTGAAATCAGGTATTTGATGCCTCCTACTCTTAGGATTTCTTTGGCTATTCTGCGTCTTTTGCATTCCCATAAGAATTTTAGGATTTTTTTTCTAGTTTTGTGAAGAATGTCATTGATATTTTCATGGGGATCGCATTGAATATGTGGATTGCTTTTTGTACAGTGGCCATTCTGACTATCAACTCTGCCAATCCATGAGCTATTGTGAATGGAATTCTCTTCCTTTTTTCTTTCTCAGATATTTTGTTATTGGTGTATAGAAGAGCTTTTGATTTTTTCGAATATTGATTTTGTGTCCTGCTACTTTGCTAAATGTGTTTAAAGTCTTTAGGTCTTCTAAGTATAGGATGGTATTGTCAGTTCTTTTCTACACAGCAATGCCTTTATTCTTTTTCCCTTTGCCTGATTTTTATTTTTTAAATTTATTTTTATTTTTTTGGTACCAGCGATTGAACTCGGGTCCTTGTGCTTGCGCAGCAGGCAGCGAAACTACTGAGCTAAATCCCCGGCCCTTTGCCTGATTTTCAAAGTGAGTCATTATACAATCAGCCACACACAGAGTGTGAGAAAGCAGGATGGCATGCCGCTGACCTCACCTGAGCGACCTTCCTCCTGACGTGCATGGGTAGGCAGTGGCACCTGGTGTTCCCAGCATGATCTCTGGGCTGCCATGGAGGCAGCAGGGTGGGCTGTGGGCATCTCCCATGCCCAGCCAGGGTCCCCAGCCCAGTCCCCTCACAGGCCGCTGTCCCCAGTGCCCACCATGAAGCGACTGAGCAGTGTCTTGGGCTTCAGGGTCCCGGCTACAGAAGCGTCCTGTCAGAGGTGTCATCAGGCTGTTCCCACCCACACGCGGCTCCTGATTTCTTGCCCCTGACTTTTGGCCCTCCCCCCAGCAGACCTGAACACCAGTGGTAGACCGTGAGTGTCTACATGTCTCAGTCCTTGGACTGAGTCTACTGTCTTCCAAGATCCCTGCATGGGGCAGGGCCCCAGGCCACCTGGAATTTGCATTTGTCCTGTCACATCTGCCCTAACAGCCCTAACTCACAGGGCAGAGCCCCCGGTCTCCGTTGGTAAAGTCCCTGCCCCACCACAGTGCTGTTGCTGAGACCAGGAACACAGGGTGGACCTGGCAGCCTGTCCTTAGAGGGCTACTTGTTGACATCACCCACATTCACTGACATGCCTACCAAGGGCAACCTGGTCCCCAGGAGACCCAGGAGCCGCCAACTCCCCCACTGAAGCCCAGCACTTTCATCAGGGCACAATTTTCCAGCCTCTCTCCTGCCTCTGGGGCAACCTGAGAACCCTGCGATGGCAAAGACTGCCTGCTGGGCAGCGGCTGCCATGAGTGCATGGGGGCCACCCTATTGTGGAGAGGCTGGAGAGCAAGGCTGAGACCCTAACCCTAACCCATATACCTAATCCTAACCCTAACCCAAACCCATATACCTAATCCTAACCCTAACCCATATACCTAATCCTATCCCTAACCCTAACCCATACCCTAACCCTGGACTGATAACCCTAACCCTAACCCATGCTCCCATCCATACTCCTGTCCCCTAACTCATACCCTAACCTGGGCTCCCATGACTCTGCTCTGGGCTTGCTTGTGGTGTAGAGCCAGGTGGACGTGTGTGGGGCCGAACTGTGCTATTCCCCTGTGTGGAATAAGGGCTGGGCCAGCCTGGTGCTCAGTGCCTACTGGATGGAGAAGCAGGGATCCCACTGATGGCAGCTCCCCTGTGATGGAGACCACTATGGACCAAGTCATGTCCCCTGATGGGAGTGGCTAGGAATAGGGCTGCAGGGAGCCCATCAGGAGGCCCCCCCTTAGAGCTTGGCCTTACAGGAAGGGAGAGGACGGGTGCACAGGGGAGCACCGTGAGGACACAGAGGGTGCTGCCCACAAGCCAAGGAGAGTGGCCTGGGGCAGCCGATGGTCCCCTCAGGTCCTGCCCAGCAGCCCTGTCTAGCTCCCATTGCACCATGGTGTGTGGCTCTGTCCCTGCCAGGGCCTGCCTTGGTAGCGGTGGAGTCTTCCTCCCTGAAGCTGCCTCTGTCAGGCCTGCTGCTCCCCCTCTGTTGCCACCTGAGCCCTCCCTGGGGCCCAGGCTCCTCTGCCTCTGTCTGTTGCTGGGCGACCACAGTGTTCTGGTCCCCCTGGACTAGATGGCGCCTGGCAGGGCCAGTGCCATCTTCCTGGGCAAGCTGAGGCCAGGCCACGCCAATGCACTGGTGCAGTTGCTGGCCCATCTCCCAGGGCTGGGGGAGCCCAGGAGAGGCCACACCAGCTGGATGGGCAGCTCTGCCGCTGCCATTCGGCTGCTTGTGCCTGCTAGGCCTGTGGGTCTCACAGAGCTGTGGGGACCAGGACTGGTGTGCCAGGATGTCCTTGTTCTGGGACACGGGAAAGCATGGTGTGCACTGCTGAGGACACACTGGCTGGGATGATCCCTTCCTCAGGATGGAGTTTTGGCTCTCACACCTGGGCAGCCTGGCCCACTGGTACTGTGGGCTCAGGGTGGGACCTAAGGCCCCTCCCACTGGCCTGCAGGATGAGGGGGGTACCGGGCCACCCCTGCCTGTCCCGCAGCCTAGATCTGGGGACCTGCACCCAAAGCTTGGTGCAGATGTGAACTGAGGTCCCTAGCCAGCCCTTGCCTGGGGCCCACTAGGACAGGAGGCTCCAAGCCTTGGTCACCAAGCCTTGCATGTGCTGGGCTACAGCAGAGCTCAGCTGGTCCCTGCCACTCTGGGCCTCCATGTGCAGGAACTAGGGGAGCCCAGGGCAGTGGTGCAGGCAGGGTTTGTTCCAGCATGTCCAGGCATATTCTGGCATGTGTGGCTGCTGCTGGAAACCCAGGTCAGAAGTCCTGGCTTAGAGATGAAGCCACTCTTGACCGGGCACCATTGGCCTCCTTTCCCACCAGATCTGGACCCATGGGCCCACAGGGCAGCCCAGGACAGGAAGTGGAAGTGGGGTGGCCCCAGGATAGGAAGTGGGGCTCCCAGAACCAACTGGCAACAGCTCATGCTCCCCAGAGGCCCCAGCAGCAGGAGATGGGGTGTAGAGTGTGGCCTAGGGTCGAGCAAGGTGGCTGCGGCCCTTGTGGAGGGACTGAGTGGGCACTGGCCGAGAAGCACTGGGCATGCCGCGCCTTGCTGTCCTCCTGGCCACCAGCTGGCAGTTTTTGAGGTGATGCCATTACTGCTGTGTTGGCCTGGCACTGGGAGACCTGAGTCCCACAGTGGACAGGGCCAGGTGGTGAGGAGCCCCCCCAGGGTCCCTGTCTCAGCAGAGCCTGCACTGCATGAGGGCCAGGAAAAAGACCCCAGGTCCCCTCTTTTCCTCATCTCAGGGTCAAAGCCGCCATGTCCCCCACTGACCTATGTTGGTAGCAGTCTCTCCAGAGAGCTGGGACACAGCTGTACCAGGTGTCTGACCCCTAGCTCTGCTCTTGCTTGTCCTGTGTGATGTCACTACCACATCCCGCTCTGGCCTGGGACTGAAGAGGACCAGGCCTGGGGCTGCAGCCCTGTGGAGACCACGCTGCCCCACTTTGGGGAGCGCAGTCTGGTCCTCGGGTGCCATGGACTGACCCTGCTGTGGCATCACACATCTGCCAACCCTGTACACACTGTGCTCCAGTTCCCTTTTCTCCACGGTAAAGCATCTGTGACAGAGTTTACCATCCAAGGTGGGCGCCAAGAAGGCTGAGGCAGGAGGGTGGCCTGAGCCCAGGAGCTTGAGGGGTCAGGATCGGTGGTGAGGTTCCCTCTAGTCTCAGAGAGAGATGGGGAAGGAGAGCATGAATGTGAATGATCACTTGGAGCATCTTTAGGCGAGTTTTACTAGACATGTGTGGCTTCCTCAGAGTCTCTGAGCTCCACCATGGAGTTCTCTCGGCAAATCAGAATCCATTCAAGGGCTTTCTTTTTCATTTTCATTTTAAAATTTATTTGCAGCACTGAAATGGAAACCAGGGCCTTGCCCAGGCTCGGGAAGGGCCTCCTCTGAGTGCTCTTACCACGTGGGCTGGGCCTGGTGGGGCTCCATGGCCCTGGGGGCCTGATGGTGCAACCCCGACACCGGAGGCCTGAACAGGCTGGGGGAAGCCCGAACCCCCACCCCGCGCACCCTCGACACTGTGGAGTCGGCTTCATGCTGAACTCTACAGTGCTTCCGGAGTGGCCCCCGCCTCTGCCCCGCTTTTGAGGTTCTGCAGAAGCCCCAAACATGAGGCAGAGGAAACTCTCAAGCACCCAAGGTGAGCCTCCTGCCCTGCCAGTGCCAGGGGATTCCACACGGCCCTGTCAGTGACTCTGGGCATCCTGACTGTCCTCTGCACCCCAGAATCTGCCCTGGCATTTTCTGTAGTTGCTTCTGTCCAGCCAGTGGGCAGGGTCCCCAGAGGTCTCTGTGTTTGAAAATCTCCTGGTCAGGGCGAGGGGCCAGCAGTGTGGGGGTCACTGTGGGCAACCATGCATCCGCCCTTGTGGGGCAGGGGGTCAAGCCAGCAAATAACAGCACAGGTACAGGACAACCTGACCTCCAGACAACACAGATGACTCAGTCTAAGCCGTGCTTGGCTTACACCACACTCAAGGAAAGAAACATGCTGTTTACTGGACTCTCGCTGATGAGGCACGCTCCGTGACACCCTCTGTGACACCCTCTGACGGCAGATGTTGCAGACTGGTTCTTAGAACATGGCGAGGTCGGGTGGGGCAGCGGGTGCCTGTGGAAGGGCCTGGAGCGAGCCCAGGCTTGGGGACACTGCAGCTGACTCAGGGCATGGAGCGTGGGCCCTGGGTCCATGGTGAGCAGGCCCCCGTCAGGAAGGGGCCACACGGCCTGGGTTTAGTTAGAGGCCCCAGCCCAGGCTTGGGCTTCCTGAGCGAGGGCGAGGGGCAGCTGCCCTGGGCCCTGGGCCACCAGACCAGTGCAGCTGGGGACTCAGCCCAGCCACCACCCACCTGGAGGTACCTGGGGCCAGCTCTGCTTGTGGCAAGAACGACAATGCCAGTATGGTGGAGGGGCTTCTGTGGCATCCTCAGGCCTGTGGTGGCCGCTGGTGTGGACGGCTTCGAACGTGTTTCTGGGACAAACGGCGGAGGAATGAGATCCCCGAGCCGGCTGTGGAAGGCCACAAGGCGCAGACTTTATTCACCTGGGCGCAGGTCAACAGGGCGAGCAAAGACCAGGCGGGATTTTTACAGGGCGTTGTCGTCGGGAAGGGGTCTGGCACATACAGGGTTGGAGCAATATTCGTGGCCGGGGTCCACGCAGCGGTCAGGGCAGATGTGTGGGTGCTGTCGGGCGACTTGGCACCGGGAAGACACTGTGCTGTGCTTTGTGGTCTTTTCTCCTTTCTGTAACATCTGCTCTGCATTCTGTGTGCAAGGACATGGCGCAGCCTGTATCTAGGTGGAGACGGCAGGAGGCAGGACGCAGGACGTACACCTGGTCTCAGCCACCTAAGGAGGGGCGCGTCTGCCAGGGCTGCACTTTTTGAATCTGCTAAAAGTGTAACTTAGAGATAAACAGCATATTTATTAGCCAGGTCATGGCCAGAGCAGGCCTGGCAGCTTCCAGAACCTTCTGTGCATTCATGGTTCCTCTTCCCCTCAGCCCACAAATGAGATGGGCCGCTGCACAGGTCCACGGGGGCTCGGCTCTGGGTCCCCATCTCCGAGGTTCCGGGCCTCCTGCCCAGGTGTCTGGAGACACAAGGGCATCCGGACGGTACCCTCTAGAGCAGGAAGCCCTGACTGAGGAGGAGAGGGGCTGCAGCACCCTCAGCCTCTCTCCCACGCTGCTGCATGGATGTGCAGAGGCCACAGCAGCTCTGTCCTAGCCAGCCCCGGGTGGGTCCCGCGGGCCACAGACAGCGGCGGATGCATGGCTCCTGAAGATGCAGGGGACCCTGGGGCTGCCACCTGACCACCTGACGGGGCCACCACAGATGATTCCCCTCCAGGGAGTGCTGCCTTGGGTGGTTCCCGGGTCATCGCTGAGCCACATCCGGATATAGGGTCCTGGCAGTAGTGTCGGGGCTGCAGAGTGGGCCCGGCTCCTGGAGGCCCAGGGTGATGGCTTCCCCTGTGGACATGGCGGGGGGCTGGACTCACCTGTGGGGCAGGTGGCTTCGTGTGTGTGTGCGCGCATGTGTGTGCAGCTACCCTCTTCTAGGAGAAGCTGGAGCCATGCTGGTGGGGCAGCAATACCATGTGTACCAAGCTTGCGGTTCTGCAAACACCAAGGAATGAAGTTTTTATAGGAAATAAGGAGAAGAGGACCTCCTGGCATTTGGAATGGGGCGGCCGCATGGCCCTCTGCTCTAGAGCTAATTATAGACACAGCATAGGAATTGCTTGGTTTTTTAGTGGTCAGCTATCACAGGTGGCTCTGTGGATTTCACACGACCAACTGGGACTCAGGCCTTTAACCCAGTTCTTCCACTCTTAGGGTTTACGGGACACTGGGATCTCAGCAGGAACTGGTTAATCTGCAGTATGATTCCTTTGAAACTCAGGGACTTGGTAGGGAGTGGCAGGGCCTCCCTTTAGTAGGGGGTGGGCTGCATTCCATGCTGCCTGAGGAAGTTCATTCTCTGTCCAAGTTGCAGTCTATTCTAGTTTTTATCAGTGTGGCTGGTCATCCCCCTCTGTCTCTGGCCCTTCCACTAGTTATTGCCTTAGCTGTAAGCTAACTAAATGAACTATTTTCTTTCTTTCTTTCTTTTTGTTTGGTTTTTTGAGGCAGAATCTCCTTTTGTAGTTCAGGCTGGCCCTGAACTCACTGTGTAGCCCAGGCTGGCCTTGAACTCGAAGTGATCCTCCCGCCTCAGCCTCCCAGTGCTGGGATTACAGTCATGTGCCACCACGCCCAGCAATAAACTATTTTCTACAGCAGCATTTTAGCCCCAGCCTTATGGCTCATCTCAGCCCAGGAAAGGACCCTGGTGTCCCTGGTGGCTTTCCAATTCATGGCAGCCCCTCCCCCACTCCCACATGGGTAGGGGTTGCCTTTAAGGGCACGATTCTGAGCCAGCTGTGGAGCGGGCGCTGGCTGGCCTGTGTCCTCAGGACACCACACTTCACAGACACCGACACGTGCTGACACGCATGTGCTTGTGCCCTGGTTTCGCCTCTCAGCTCCTGACAACAGATCCAGCTCTGATAACTGAGTTTTCCGTTCTCTGGAAGAGCTCACTGCCACACCAAGGCCACCTTGCTTACCACCGGGTAGGCCAAGTCAGTGGGAGGGAAATTAGTTCATCCCAGGGCGGGAACCTGTGGAAGATGGGGGGCTGCCACCTCAAAACAAAGACCATCTTGGGGGACACGGGTACATGGAGGGGCTTAGGGGGTGGAGCAGGAAGGTTGTGTGCCAAGCAGGGCCTGTGGTCCAGGGCTGAGCTCTGGAATGGCCTCGAGGCCTCCATAATGCCTCAGAGGGCATGTCGACTCCCTCAAGGGAAACATGATTCCACCTTTAATAAGAGTTAGACTCTTGAGTCCCCGGCCCACGCTCAGATGTGGTCTGGAGGCTGTCAAAAGTCCTGGGCTCTGAAAAGCTGAAGGAGGAGGCCTGATGGGGGTCCTGGGCCACGTCCACTCACCTCCTTCCCATGCCGTGGGCAACTGCAGCAGTCAGCACCTCAGGGCAAAGGGGAAAAACAGAAAATAACTCCAAGGGCAGTTTGCGAAGCAGAGCAAATCTGAGAGGGTGGCGGACACTCAAGCACTGCCATCCTGGCTGTGACCAGGCCAGCATCCTCGGCGGGGTTGCCTTGGTGCCTGCAGGATCTTCTTGGGATCCCCCAGGCCTGCACACTCTTCATGTGGCTCAGCTTCTGTCTCTTCTGAGATTTTGGGAGGTTGTTTCTCAAAGAATTTGTCTATCTTATCTATGAATAAAAAATTACCACTGCAGATATTTATAACAGCTCTCACTCTCTGTGTGGATTTCCTAGGACTGCTCTAATAAACTTCCACTAACCAAAGTGGGGAAATGTATTGTCCGGCAGCCCGGAGCCTGCCCTCTGGCAGAGGTGTGGCTGTGCCCCTGTCCCACCCTCCTCCTCCACTGGGCGGGGCTCAGGCCCCGGCTGTGGCCACCCTGCTCTGGTCTCAGTCTGTCTCTGCCAGCCTCTTCCTTTGTGTGTTCGCCTCCAGACCCAGATTAGGCCCAGCACACTTACAAAGACCTGTCTCCATGCTAGATCCGGCCCAGGCGCTGGGGGCACAGTTTAGCCCACTGTGCTGTCTTCTAGTTTTTGCAGCATCTATGGGGATGCAGTTCCCCGAAGCACAGTTTGAATGGTAACTTCACTCTAACTTAGCTCGAGGCAGTGTCGGATTTCAGTCTGGACACTTTAGCACATTCAGTCCTTGGCACATCCTGCTTAATTTCCAAGGTCTGAGGGGTTTTCTGCTGTCCTTCCGTGGCTGACTTTTCACTCTTCCTTGGCCATCAGAGACCATGTCCTCTGCTATCCTCTTCTGGGAAGCTGTCGGGGTGCACACTGTGGCTCGCGCAGGCGGACGTGGGGGGCACTGCAGGCCCCTGGTGGAGGTGAGAGCCAGCAGCATGAGGTGCCTGCCCCACAGGCCTGCGGCCAGGTGGTCTTGCTCCCCAGCCGCCTGCCCGAGTCTCACCCACAGCTGCTCTGTGTTTATGGGTCTGGGAGGTGCCCTGAGGTCTGCAGCTGCCCCCAGGAAAGTCCACTTCCCTTGTTCTGTGGGGTGCGCCGGCCGGGGCTTGTTAGAGCTCACGCCGTGGGGTCGCTGGTCCACTTTGCTGTCTCTCCCAGTCCAGTTACTATGGGAGCAGGGTCTCTGTCGCCTGCTTCTGGAATCAGCAAAGTGAGTTTCTCCCTTCTGCAGTCCTGTCTTGGGGCTGTGGCCCCGGCGTTTGCTGACAGACGTCTGACTGGCTCAGGCGCTGTGGCAAGCCCTTGTCCCTGGTCTGCAGGGCCTGCCCGGTCCTCCTGCCCCGTGACTTCAGTCCTCCTCACGCATTCTGCACTCTGCCTGCGTGGACCCTGGACTCTGCCAACCCAGCCGCATCTGGCCTGTCGCCTGTGCTTCCGAGTCTCCCTCTCCCCTGCTGGCGTGCCTGCGCCTCGTCCTGTTGGCTTGCTCTCCCTGAACTCTGCCTGCTGCCCCTGGTGGGGGCCCAGGGTGCAGCTCTCCTCCGTCCCAGCCCTCCCAGGGGCCTTGCTTTTGCCTCTCTGCTTTTGCCTGTAATTGAATTGACTTAACCAAGAGAGAGGCTGAGGTGCTCCACCACATGTATACCTCGTCATGTTTACATCGGGGTATACGCATCATCCCCTCAAATGCCTGGCACTTCTTTATGGGAAAACATTCAAAGCCCTTCCAGCGTTTTGAAATAAGAGCACATGACTGAGTCCACAGCTGCCCTCCTGTGCAGTGGAGCTGCTGGGCTCCACCTCCCTTTGCTTCGTCAGTAATGGGTGCCCCTCTGCCATTCACTGCCACCGTCAGCCTCCCTCCGGGGCCTACCACTGAGCCACAGCCTGCCAGCTTTGCTATTGACAGGCTTTTCCCCTTTATGTTCGTTGGGATACTGGTATTAAATTTCTCTGGCCTGTGAAGTCCGCCTCGCCTCATAGGAGGGATCTGGCTTTGTGCTGGGGCTGACCTGGGGCTGGGTGTGGATTTGAGGGTGTGAGGCCCCTGTGATGTTGGAGGGTTTCAATGGCAATTGAAGCTTTTCTTTTATTTATTTACTTATTTATTTTAGTACTGGGAATCGAACTCAGGACCTTGTGCTTGGCAGGCAGGTGGGGCACCACTGGGCTACATCTCCCCCCCCACCACACCTGTTTTCAAAATGTACTTTTAAGGCATCACCCTGAAGACATAGAAACGAACGCCTCACAGTGTTTGCACTAAAAAGGGAACTTGGACAGTGCGCTCCTCTGGCTGCTGCAGTGGGTCACAGCCCAGCGTTCGAGGTTTGAGTGCAGCGCTGAGGGCGCAGAGACCAAGCCACGTGGACAGCAGCTGCCGGGCACACACTGTGTTCTCTCTCGGGACTAGGAGAATGTGGGCGAGGGTGGACTTCGGTTCAGTTTTCCCGGCAGAGCTCGAAGTGTCAAACCTGAGGAACGCAGAGGCTCGTGTGGGGCACTCCTGGCAGACGCACTGCAGCGGTGCTGTTTGTGTCCCTGCCAGCAGCAGGCACACAGGTCCCCGAGGACTCAGGAGGCTGCCGCCAGTCCATGGGGAGTGAGAGCCCCAGTGCAGCAGCCCTCAGCGGCCTGGGCTCCTCTGGGTTGGGGGGCTGGGACTGAGGTGCCAGGTGCAGGGGGCCGTGTGCCTCCTCCGTACACCGTGGTGCCCCTCCGTGCAGCCCAGCAGCTCCCACTGCCGGAAGGGAAACCAGCTGTTCCCACCCAGCAGCACCCCGAGGGCTGCCCTCCCTTGAGGGCCATGTGCCCCTTTATGTGCACTAGGTAATAATAGGACAGAGATTAAGCCACGGGCACTGAGTGCAGCGGCAGCTCTGAGCATTTAAACGGTCCCGAGGTATTTTTGTCTGGACCCAGCTGGAACGTGTTGCAGGCGAAGGGTGTGGGGGTCGGTCCCCCAGCGGTCCCTGCGGTGCTGTCCCTTGTGTCTCCCCACGGGTGCGGGGTCTGCGTGATCCTCCATGCACGGCAGTGCACTTTAAACACTTCGTTTCCTCGGACATACACCCCGCAGTCATACCTCTGACGCCTTGCAGGGTGAAAGGAAAGTTATTTGCAGTAGCCAGGAGTGGAAACACTTCAATTCAAAAGGCAACACCAGTCAAAGCAAGTGGACATTTTTTTTCATTCCTGCAGCGGTGGGGTTGGAACCTGGGCCTGGAGCAAGCCAGCACAGCCCACCATGCCACCCCATCGGCAGCCCCAGGTGACGAGCTTCAGCAACCAGTTAGGGTTAGCTGAGAGCAGAGGCCACGAAGCTCCCCGTGCAGCCAGGGACAGTGGCCATGAACGTGGCCGGCTCTGCCACGAGGGACAGTGCAGTGCTCAGGACCCACAGCCACTCCCAGGGACGAGGGATGCCTGCAGAGGGTCCCCGGGGAATGGACGCGCGTCTGGGGCTCTGCTCATGGAGGTCTAGGCTTGGGGGGCTCCTCTGTCCCCGGCCTGGCAGCCTGAGGCTTCTTTGTCCTCACTGCTTTGAGATTTAACACAGACTTGCTGCTTGGCTTTTCCTGGTGACAGAAGGATGTGTCCAAAATAAAAATAGCCTGGTCTCCTGATGCCGGGAGCAGGAGAGAGCTGGAGGTGACTTGGGGCCCAGGGCAGGGCGCTGGGCCAGGTGACATGGGCTCCCTTCTACAGGCTGAGGCTGCTTCCCCAGGCACCATCTCTGCAGTTCCCTCCCACACACTTCCCGTCCTCCCCTTGGCCCCCTGGGCGGGTCTGCCCCCGCACACCCCCTTCCTCCTCCTCCTCCGGTCTCTGCTCCTTCTCTCCTCCCACCTCCCCATCTCTGTGGGCTCTCAGGAGGCCTTGGCCTTCTGGGGCCCGGAGGGGCAGCTGACCAGAATCCTGGGAGCCCAGAGTCAGCTTTAGGGCAGGGAAACTGGTGGGTTCTGCAGGAGGCCCCAGGCCCAGGGCTATGCACAGCTCCTGGTGAGAAGTGTTTTGGGGCTCCTTTCAGGGTCCCCCTTGCTGCTCCCAGGCCCCTCCGGAAGCTCTCCACTCCACATCCTTCCCCACCGGAGAGGCAGCCTCTGTGGTCCCAGTCAGCAACAGCTGCTCCCCACCCCCAGTAGCGGCAGCCCTGATGAGATAGGGCGTTGTGATACCGGGATGATCTATGGACCTGCAGATAACATAAGGGAAACATTATAACTCCCAACCTGATTGACATCAAATATGAGGGGTTTGTATTCTCTACAATCGAAGAATGAATTCTGGGAACAACGGAGGGTAACAGCAGGAGGAATTTATTGAGAGAAAAATAGCTTCTCAGAGAGACTGAAGGGGGCCTAGAAAGTGGGTTGCCTAGGGACCCTGCTTCTCAAGGGAGTTTTGTAGAGCAAAGCCACGAGGTAAGGCAGGTATAAGGTGGGACAAAACTATGGTCAGCCAATAAGATTACAAAACAGTCTGTTAGGTGATATTGATTAAATGGGGAAGCAAGTTGCAAGCTACATGCAACAAAGAAGGATTTCCAGGAAGGAGTGGGCTGGAGAGGCTTTGGTCTCCACCCAAGGTGATTGACGCCTATTTAGAGTATCAATCACTGCTGTTCATCCCTGGGGGAAGCAAGTGCGTATGTATAGTCAGTTTTGTCTCGAAGCCTTGCCTTCAATGAATGTGCATCCAGCCACAGTTGTGATGTGTTTTTATCTTCCACACTGACTTCTGTAAGAGTCCAGTCCTGTCTGACTGCCTCTGATATTTTTAACTAGCTTACCTGTCTACAATGCTAACTGGAGGGCAGAGGCACTGCCTCCCAGGTCCTGGCCTGGAGTGGACGTGGAAACTTGCAGTGCTGCTCTGTAGACCCAGTGCCTTGGACCTGTGCCTGCAGCCGAATGTGTGGGGCCCCATTCCAACTGGCACATCAGACTCCCACCCGGAAGCTGAGGCAGCAGCTCCTCCTGAGGCAGGTGGAAAGTCCACGTCCAGGTCAGAGGCTGGGTCTGCACCCGGTGTCCATGACTATCTGCTGGCACCGTACAGGAAGTCCCAGGTCTCCCTGGGCTGTGCCTGCCATGTGGCTAGAGGCCACCAGAAGTGACCAAGTCACATTTCAATCTGGAGAGGCTTTTGGTGGCCAGGCCAAGACAGCAGCGCCGGGGAGGACGGTGCTGGTGGGAGGATGTCGGGGAGTGGGCAGCCAGTGCTGAGCTCCTGCCTGACCTGTGGGTGTGGACAGGCAGTCACTGCCTCCGAGAGTCGCCCCAGTGAGTTCACACTGACACAGCTGTGTAGAGCTGTGAAGCCCATACCTACAAAGCAACTCCAGCCCTGCGGGGCGCTGAGCCAGGATGCCTGGCTCCCAGTGGCCACTCCCGGAATGCAGAGGCCTGAGAACGGAGCCAGTGGCACAGCAGAGTGGGGCCAGCAGCCTCTGCAGGCCTGGTGTGTGTGTGTGTGTGTGTGTGTGTGTGTGTACACAGAGTGAGCACAGGAAAGCTGCTGCGACGGAGGAAGCATGGGGCGCAGGCCAGAGGTGTGCATCTGAAAACCCAGCCACGAGCTAAGTGTGGTGCTGGTGCACACTGGTGATCCAGCACTCTGGGAGGCTGAGGCAGGAGGGTCGCAAGTTCAAGCCCAGCCTGGGCAACTTAGGAGATCCTGTTCCAAAGGGGTGGAGCTGTAGCTAAGTTTGAAAACCCTGTGCTCACTCCACAGTGCAAAAACAAAGAAAAGAAAAGAAAAGGAAATTCAGAACAGCTACAGTGATGAAGAGTGGGAGAAGCTGACGGGAGGGACAGCCCACCAGGAGGGGCAGGCTGGGCCCTGGGCTCCAGGTCAGAGTGCCGGGCAGAGGCACCCGCAGCCAGCCTGTGGGCCTCGGCAGGAAGCTCCTCTCAGTTCGCACCTGCCAAGGGCCCCTCGGCCCCTGCTGCTGCGCTGCAGGCTGTAGAGTGCCGGGGTGGTTCCCAGCCCTGCAAGGCCAGCTCAGCCCACCGACCTCGGCCCTGGCCCTGCCCGATTCTGTGCCTACTCTTGGCTGAACCCCGTGGGGGCAGTCACTCGTGGGCAGCCGCTTCCTGCTCCCCAGCGAGGCCCATGTCTTTCTGCAGGGCCGGCCTGTGTTTTGGGGACCCAGGTGACAGCCTGACCCCGTGGGGTCAAAGCCCCCACTGCAAGCTGTCGCGGGCGGGGCGCCTTTGCCCTAGGGGCGGCAGCTCCCCTGGGTCTGGTTTGAGCATTGGCGGGCACCCTAAGCCCCTCTCAGGCCGCTCGAGGGACAGGTGTCCGGCATTGCCATCCTGCCCCAGTGCGCGGGACAGTGAGGGCGGCGGCGCCCTTCCCTGGCGTCCGCAGTCTCCCGCGCAGCGGGATGGGCAGGCAGGACGGGCGCGGGGCGTCAAGGCGCCCTGCGACCTCGCCCTGTTGGTTCCTCAGCCGGTCTCAGGCTAAAGGAGCGCCTACCGCCGGCCAACGCGCACCGCCTGCCCTGCAGTTGGGGCGTGGCGGGGGCGTGGCTGCGTGCGGGGGCGTGGCCCTCGGGCCGCAGTGGGGAACCGAGGCGCCCGGCCGCAGGAGGCGGGAGGTTCGGCGGGCCCTTGGGGCGGGTCCTGCGGCGCCGCCCCGCCCCTTCCCGCGGAGGCCAACTTTGGGGCGGGGCGGGGCGGGCAGGTGCGGTCACGTGTTGCGGCCCAGCCCGGCGGACCACGCCCCGCGCAGTCCCGCGCGGAGTCCGCGGCTGGCAGTCAGCGCTCGCACCATGCCCACCAACTTCACTGTGGTGCCCGTGGAGGCGCGCGCGGGCGTCGGCGGGGCCGGGGCCGGGGACGAGGCGGTGGAGCGCACCGAGGCGCCAGGGATCCCCGCGGACGGCGAGCCTGAGCGCCCCAGCTGGGGTGAGCGCGGCACCTGCGCGGGCCGTGGGGGCAGCGCGGGGCTGGGGTGAGCCGGTGTGGCGTCCGGGGTTGGGGTGACTCGAGGTGGGTGCCCAAGGTTGGGTGCCCGGCTCCTCCGCGCCGAGCCCCGAGGGAGCGGCAGGCCCGGCCCGGAAGCGCCTCCTCTCCCTGGGCTGGGACGGGAGGCGTGGAGCTGTGGAGCTGCGCGGCCCAGGCTGTCCCGCGCTCACCCGCTGGGCTCCCGGCCGGGGCGTGGGCAGCCTCCCAGAGGTTGGTCCTGCGCGCCGACCGGCCCGGACTCCCTGGGGTCACGAGCGGGTCTGCGCCCGCGCCCGCGCCCGCGCCCTTCGCAGCCCTTTGTTCCGGAGTGGAGCTCCTCCGGGGCACTTTCACTTTCTGCCGGGTGGGACGGCCGGCTCCTCCTCCTCAGCCTCCCTCCACCCGCTCCAGACCCCGGCCTCCTCCTGGAGATGGCTGGTCGTCTCGGGCCGCGCTTCATCTCTGGGGTTCCCCCTTCTTCTCGGGCTGCTGAGAAGGTCCTCATGCCCAGCTTACACACGGCCTGGGCCCGGCCCCGGGGGGAAGGAGGGAGGAGCGGTCACTCGGTGAATAGGTCCTCCGCAGGCCTTGCCCTTTGCTGCTCGCTGCCCGGGCAGGAAAGGCCAGTTGCTTGCTCCTTTGTATACTGTTGGGAGCCTGTGGATGCCCGCCAGGAGCACCCACTGAAGTGCCAGCACTCACTGTGAGGGGTCATCCACCTCGTCGGTGGCCCTTCCCAGGAGGGGCGCTGTCCAGGCTCCCGCTGGGAGTGTCTGGGGCAGCTGCCTGGCCGTGCCCATGAGACCAGGCAGAGCCTTAAGCCCTGCCTTTGCTCTGCAGGTCCCTTGATCTGTGTCCAGCGGCCCCTCCTGGGTGTCCAGGGCCTAGACAGATCTCTCCAGACCTCCAGTGTGTTTTGTGTTGCAGTCAGGGTCCTTGAGCCGCACCCCAAGTCGGGGCGCCAGTGTGGGGTCCCAGAGGATGAGCCTCTTGCTCAGCAGGCCACCTGCATCCTGCTTGTTTTTGCCAAGGGTTCTCAGGAGTCTCCCTGCCCTCACACTCGCAGGTGGGAAGAGAGCCAGCGTGGGGCTCCTGCTCGCTCAGTGTCCCCTGATGCTCTGAGCTGACCTTGGGAAATGTGGCAGAGTTTTGCAGGCCTTGCATGCTGTATTCCCCTTTGGGGGAGGTTTCCGGAACTTCACTGCTATGCCTGAGGGCTAGGCGCGCTGCTGTCTTGACTTTGGCCACGTCCTCGTTTGTCACTGGAACTGTTGGGCCACACACACTGGTGGTGGAGATGCCCTGTGGGCAGAGTGACGGGCCCTGCTGGGGAAGGGGCTGCAGGCTTTGCTTCTTCGTGGGAGGTCCCTGAGAGGCTGGAGCCCCTTCCAAAGGCCGTGAGTGTGGCTCGGGACAGCGCCAGCTCTGCCTGATGATGGTGACTTTAGTGCCTCATGGTGGGTCACGGCCCCATCCCTGGTGTGCTGCAAAGCAGTGCTGTGGTGGTGTCCCCTTCCTGGGCCACCCCAGCCTGCTGAGCAGAGGGACTCAGGACCCAGAGCGAGAGCCCGGGGTGCCCCTGGGGTGAAGGAGCAAGGGTGGCTGACCTGGCACTGCAGCTCCCGTTCCACAGGAGGTTTGGCTGAAGAGTGTGAAGCTGGCCTGTCCTGCTGTCCTGTCCCAGGTGGGCTTGGTCTGCGCCCTCACCTCGAACTGTCCCTGTTGGGTACATCAGAGCCCAGAACACAGGTCTGGGACCTTGGTGGGGCGTGTCTGTGATGGAGCCCTCCACCCTGCTCCTGTGGACCCCACACCTGCCTCCCCGTTTTAGCACCTTGCAGGGTTTCTGCCTCCACTGTGCTCTGGAAGGACTCTGGGTCCCTGCCCTGGGACAGCGCCGTGCCTGTCTACACGGTGCTCGTTCTGAGTTTTATTTTGCTGTGAGATTTCTCTCGGGGTGAAAGTGACACCTTAGGGTTAGCTTCCCCGTGAGTAGGAGGAAAAGGCATTGAAATGGGCTGTGTCTGCTGCCTCTGCTGGTCCAGGAAGCTCAGTGCCTCTCCCGAGTGGGGTCTGGCTGGGTCAGCTCCCCAGGCTGTGTGGTGGCTGGGGCCACAGATGGGGGTCCCCTGGGACCTCCAGGGCCCACAGGCCTTGCCCTGGGGAAGGAGCCTCACCCGCAGGCTGTCCCTGGATGGCTGCCTGGGTTTGGTTGTAGTTCTTCCTTTTGGATTCCTTTTCCATGATTTGTGCTCTGTAGCTGAGTGGGTGCCGGTCTCCTGCAGGTTCCCGCGTCGTCTGTGGTGGTGACCCCTGCCCTGACACACTGGTGGGGGCAGTCCTGGGTCACTTTTGCTCTGTCCAGCTTGCTGGTGCAGGCGGGCAGTTGGCACTGCTCTGTGCTACCCTCGTAGCTGCTATTTTGGAATGGTCTCAGGGCCACCATTGGGACACAGGGATTCAGAGGACAGTTCAGTTAGAAAATGGACCGAGAGGCAGGTGTGGAGGTTCATGCCTGTATCCCAGCACTGAGGGAGGCTGAGGCAGAAGAATCAAAAGTTCCAGTCCCACCTGGATGACTTAGGGAGACTCTGTCTCCTAATAAACAGGGCTGGGATGCAGCTAAGTGTTGGCTGCCCCTGGGCTCCGTCCTCAGTACTGTGACAAAAGGAAACTCAGGAGACAGAGCACTTCTAGGTTCCGTCCGTCTGTCCTGCTGAACAAGGACAGGAAGTGACAGCTGCCATCCTGGGTTTCAGTAAAGGATGGGTCACAGTGTCACTGCAGGCCACCTGAGCAGGGACAGGCGGGGTGTAGAGACCGGGCACCGGTCAGGAGTCCTTGAGGGTGGCAGTGAGGGTCCTGGATGTCCCTTGGTAAGTCTGTTTAGTGAGTAGAGGGCGAGGGCCAGCTACAGACATGACCTTGACCAGGCTCCTTTTTTGGAACCAGAGGAGGAGCTGGGGGTGCAGCTGTGGCCATTGCTTGCCCAGCATGTGCAAGGTCTGGGTTTGAGCCCCAGGCCCACAAAACAAAACCCAGCCAAGCTGGACATGGTGGTGCACTCCCATAATCCCAGCTACTCGGGAGGATGAGGCAGGCGGACAGCAAGTTTGAGTCTGACCTGGGCAGCTTAGGCCCTGCTTCAAAATAGAAGGCACGGGATGTAGCTCGGAATAAGGGCGCTCAGGGTTTGATCGGAAGTATTGCAAATAACAAAAACCAGAGGAAACAAAGGGTGCACAGGAAGCAGGTGGCTGCTGGAGACGCCAAGGCTGTGTCCGCCCTGTCTCCAGGCACAGGCCCTGCCATGGGAAGTGGGTGGTCAGGCTGTGTTGCCGAGCCGGTGTGGGAGTGAGTGTGCATGGCTGTGCGCAGTGTGTGTGTCTGAGCCTGTGCGTGCTTGAGTGTGTGCCTGCCTCGGGTAGAGGAGGCTCTGGTCCTGTCAGGCGCCGTCCAGTGAGTGCTGGGTCGCCTGCCTCGAGCCTGGCCCTGAGTCTGTGCCCGCTGGGGTCTGTTTGTGGTGGGAGGAGCCTTGCGTCCTCTCCGGGCCACCCCCACGCTGTGCCAGCATTCGGTGGAGCGCTGAGCAGCTGCTGGTGACTGCTGAGGGGCGGCCACACCCTCGGGCCTGGCAGGTGCGGGTCACCACAGCTGTTGCCGCTAGAGGATCGTTCTCCTAGGCTGTGTCCCTCGTGGCCTAGGCCTAGCGGGAGCAGGCATCCCCTCCTGACCTGGGACAGCAGGAACCTGCGTGCGATGCCTCGTGTGTGGGAGTGGCTCTGTGGGGTGGATCAGAAGAGGGGTTGGGTTGTGGCAGCTGCTGGGGACGCTGGGGAGTGTCCTGGGGGGCGCAGGGTCTGAGCAGGGTGGGTGTGAGCCAGGCACCCAGAGCCACCACGTGGGCAGTTGTGTGTCCCTTCCCTACCAGTGGTGAGTCCCGGCCCCGGGGTCCTGAGGAATAGGGACGCTTCAGAGGAGCCTGAGCTCGCCAGGCGGAGCCCTGTGTGTGTACAGGGGTGGGGTACCAGGGCGCCCCCCGCAACGCAGAGCGTCTCGAGCGAGGCTTCGCCTGAGAGGGAAGGAGCCTCATGCGGGGCAGCTGCAGTGCTGTGTGGGACCCAGCTCCCTGGGCAAATGTGTCGCTGGTGCTGGGCCGTGGCCTGAGGACTGCCGTGGGCTGTGGACCCAGGCTTCTTCAGGGAGCGCAGGCACGTGCCCAGCCACTGCACCCATAAACCCGAGCTTCCCGGAGCCCCCGTCCTGGAGTGCAGTCACCCCAGGGAGGAGGGGACCCCAGGCGTCCCCTGCCTGGAGCTGTGCGCCCTCCTCAGATCCCCTCCTTCACTCAGAGGGTGTTGGCAGGAGGAGCGCTCACCGCGACCTCTGCCATGCTGGCCCTGGCAGGGCGGTGGATCTTTGTCTCTGTCTCTTTCCGCTGGGCACAGGGTCACAGTCCTGAGCAGCTGGCCAGGCCTGACCAGGGACTCCCGGGCCTTCCCAGGGTCACTGTCCTTGGGTGTGACATGGGTGACACCCTGCAAAGGGATGGGATACACGCTGTGATGCCCCATGGCTCTGGGCTGCTGGGCCTGGCCTCCCTGCTGGACTATGACCCCCTCAGCCTTTGCAGGCCTCACCCGAGGGCAGAGCATGAAGTTCAGCTTAAGTATTAACGTGGCTCCTGCAGGGCGTAGCCAGTGGACACATGCTCCATTCAGAATGACAGCTGTGCTGGGGACAAGAGTCTGGGTGGAAGGGACCTCGAGCAGTGAGGAGCTGGTACAGCCCCCGGCAATCCAGCCCAGGGACCCTGTGTCTGGAAGGACCTGCAGGAGCTGGATTTGGGGATCTTGGGTCTGTGTCACAAATCCCCCCGGCACCGTGCACTGTGGCCCCACTGGTGGGCGTCCGAACACCTGCTGTTTCCTGGGAGCCTGGGGCGGTGTCTTTCTGAAGAG